TGATGAAAACCTAGCACTCTTCTGTTCAGAATACGCCACCCAGAAATCCTACAGATTTCTCTCTTGACTCAGTATCATCAAGCCAATCTCCTCTTCCTCAATTCCATCTCTACTTCCTCCGCAAAGAACCAATTATTCGTTCCTTAATACTCCCATACCTACTATCCATACCCCAATTTCCTGATGTGCAAGATGAATGTCAAGACTTACTTCTATTGGAAAGATTGCATGTGATCGTATATATGAACTAATTATTCCACTGCATTGCTCATTGTCAGCAACTGATGAACAGAGTCCAAGCACATGCGCAAACAGCCCTCAGCCACTGGAGCAGTGGCCACTATGTATTTTAGGCTCTGCCTTTCACGCTGGTGAAAGAATGGAAGGAAGGCTGAGTTATCACTCAGTCCTCACCACCTACCACTACACAGCGGCTAGTGCAAAGGGGGAGGGGAGAGGGGCCTCAGGAATTGAATGTATGGACAAGCTTTGTCTACCTACAACACAGTCATCAAGTGCACTTTGCCTTGACCTAAATAAGCACTAACTGTACAAACGTGGAATGGTGCTGAGATGAAAGTTTTGAGGTGAAATTGGAGGTAAAGATCATGAATGAAATACTTTCCAAGGTCTATAGAGTGTACAGACTCAAAATGTAATAAAAAAAAAAGCACGCACACACCACACACATGCACACACACACACACACACACACACACACACAAACAAGGAAATGAATGTAAAGCAATCCCTTGAGAACTGCATGTATTTCTTACACTCACATCAGTATGTTTATAATGAATAGTCAACACACAGCCATGCACTGAACCCTGAATACACACAGGCTGCAAAAGCCAAAAAATAAGGGAAGAGAAGATAAACAAGGAGCTTGAAATTTAAAAAAAAAAAAAAAACAGAAACATGCTAGAAAAAAATGATAGGGAAATATAGTAAGATCAATCTGCTTATGTAATGAGCAGCAATTGCAATTGCACTCCTAATTATAAATGAGGACCCATTAGGAAATTGTACCATTAGGATCTAATTGTAATTCTATTTGTCTTTTAGGCCAGGTAGATTACAGTGATAATTTAGAGAAGTATTGCCTAAGAAATCAAATTATACATATAAATATAAATATGCATAAATAACCACCTCGAGTGCAGGACTTTACCATCAAGTAATGCCTTTCAAATGCTGTTATGCGTGTTCTCACATTGCAGCCTTAGAAAATGCACAATGAATTTCAAAATCATGTTATCATTCCTGGGATCCTGCCATATGCCAGGCAGGAATGAAATAATGAACAAAATTGGACATGTCTGAACAAGGACATGAGGAACGAACCCAGGACACTCTGTCACCTACCACAGTATGAGAAGTAAAAGTAAATACAATTTTTCATTTCTTTTTTTTCCTCCCACAAGGGAGATTCTTGGTCTCTTTTGTTGTTGTTGTTTTCATGCACTTTTTAAAAAAAAATTACCTTTAAGTAGTTGTACAAAAGAGTTGCCATTTAACAAAGCAATTTATGACGATCATGTGGGGTTTTGTGTTGGGGGGTTTTTTAATTTACTTTTTATTGGAAAGGTGGTATACAGAGAAGCTATAGTTACATAGGGTAAATGAGTACATTTCTTGTCAAACATTGTTACCCCCTCCCCCATTTTCTCCCACTTTCTCTCCCCCCAGTCCCCTTCCCCCCCACAGTTAGAAAGTTCATTTCCAACATAGTGCATTGTGAGTATCGCTTTTGTGTGTGTGTGTGTGTGTGTGTGTGTGTGTGTGTCTGTGTCTGTGTGAGTGTGTGTGTGTGTGTGTGTGTGTGTGTGTGTGTGTGTTCACCCTTTGTCCTTTGACTCACCATTTTGTTATTCCTCTTCCCTTCCCCAAATCAGAAAGAATGACTTCCCCACCCCCCATTCATAAGGAAATGGAAAGACTTGGGGAAAATCATATTAAGTAAGCCAGACCCAAACAAACATAGATACCATAGTTTCCCTCATTTGTAATAATTAGTATATATCTAGGATAGTCCTAGTAGAGGATCACAATTGCTTAATAGCTATGTACACATGACCCTGTAAAATGATGCTAATCAAAATGAACTCCAAGATATGGCAACAAGAGGGTTTTTTGTTTTTTATTTTTGTAGGGTTTCTGTGTAAAATTATTTGTCTTTCCTTTCATTTTTCCCCCCTTTGGTTTATCCCCTGTTGTCATTCTTTTTGATTTTAGTACCCTGTGTCTTGTATATACAATGTGTTTTGATGAACATCACCCCTTTCAGTATTCTCTCTTCCCTCCTCTACCTACATGCCCCTCCCTCCAATCTTCTTACTTTTGTAGGAGATACATTGGATTCTTGGCTGCATTCTCTGCCTCTTTTCCTCTTCATTTGTTCACCCTTTTCTCCTTGACTCTACCCTACCCCTTTTGAGTACCCGCTTCCTAGTGTTTTATTTTGCTGAACTTTGCCTTTGCCTTCTAAAGGAATTACATGATTCATGTTCTTCCTTTAATGGCCTAATATCCAGAAATACACGGGGAATTGTAAAAATTAAATCCTCACAGCTGTAATCGTAGCTACCCAGGAGGCTGAGATCTGAAGATTGTGGTTCAAAGCCAGCCCAGGCAGAAAAGACCTCTCAAAATTCATATCTCCAATTAACTATTCGAAAACAAGAAGTGGGGATGTCGCTCAAAGTGGTTGAGGGCTAGTGTTGAGCAAAAAGAGCTCAAGGATAGTGCATAGGCCCTAAATTCAAGCCCCGCAACTGAAAAACAAAAAACTTAAATCCTCAAAAAACTTCATGAGGGGCTGGGAAGATGTCTCAGTGGTAGAGCGCTTGCCTTGCATGCCTGAGGCCCTGGGTTCAATTCCTCAGCACCACATAAGCAAAAAGAAAAAAGCCAGAAGTGGCGCTGTGGCTCAAGTGGTAGAACGCTAGCCTTGAGCTGAAGAGCTGAGGGACAGCACCCAGGCCCAGAGTTCAGGCCCCATGACAGGACCCAAAAAACAAAACAAACAAAAATTTCATGAGTCCAATTAATAAATGGGTCCATGAGCTTAAGAGCATCTTCTCAAAGTAAAAATGGCCAATAGACACATGAAGAAATGTTCAATGTCTCCAGTCATTAAGGAAATGCAAATCAAAACATTGAGATTCTACATCACCCTGGTTAAAAAAAAAAAAAAAAAAAAAAAAAACAATTTAAGCGTAGTGAGTCAAGAATTATTAAAGGGAAAAAGCAGGGAAAAAAAAAAAAGAAAATACTCAAGGTAATGTTATTCACAAACTAATAAAAACCCTGAGAAGCTTATGAGAGTATTTTTCTTCCTTCAGGAATCTGGCCTGGCTCAGATTTTAGAGAACAGTTCATACCAGAGCCACTTGATCATCTTCCCCTGGGACTATCAAATTAGCAGACAGACATATGCTCTATATTTAGATGGTAAGAAAGCTCACAACACATTTTCGTAATTAAATTACTTCAAATTGTTATATGATAGTAGTGAGAAATATCTCCTAAGATGAATATTGGCAACACTTGGGTCACTCTCTCTCTTGAAAGAAATGTCTAGGGACACTAAAGAGATAAATCATATATCAATTTTACAAGATAATGCTCTCTAAAAATTAAAATAAAAATGGAAACACATTCTTTACAGTGGCCAGTGATCCTTGCCAGTTAAGAGCATTTGATTTTCTCAAACAGGATAATGTTATTCATTCTCTTCTATAACTTAGGACTGTAGATTCAAGTTCAAAAAGCATCTACCCAAGAATGGAAAAACTGACTGAAATGGAAAATCAGCTAAATACATAATCCCATAAAACCAAGAGAATTACAGGAAAACAGAAAACAGAACCTAAAAATAATGTATTAGATATTATTTCTTTTTCTAGATAGGGGGTACAGCTCTATACAATTTTATTTCCTTTAGAGATAATATAGAACGGAAATATTGCACATAAAAATAATGCATATTGTATTTTTACCAGATAACAATCTTACAGCACAGAAAACATCCCTGAAACTACAGAGCAAGTTAGAATATGATTAAAAAATGAAAAAGGAGTTTCCATAGTTAATCTAATAAAGAATAAGATAAGCAGAATTAATAACTACCTAGGAAACATGTCCAAATAGCATAAAATTCAAAGTAAAATGCAAGAATTTCCTTTTCGCCTCGTTTCTTGGACTTTTAGGATAAGACCTATACTTATGGATTTCATAAGAGCATATAGAGAAATATAGAAAAGTACTACAACTCATAATGTAAGATCTCCATAAGCACATATGAAAAGAGCAATGTTCTCACACATTTCATTTCTCAAGGATCTCTGAAGCTAGTGTTGAATGTTCAATAGATATCTCAAGCTTTTGAATGGGATTTGCGTGTGATCGCAAGCACTCTTAATAGTAGCCATCAATAACATTATAGGTAAGTTTGCACTAACCAGGAATAGCCATCTTTGGACTTCTTCAAAGAACAAGAATGATCAACTTTGTTCTACTTGTCTCCGCAGATAAGGTCGGATATTTTTTTAAATACCCATGAACTTCCATGATAAATACACATTGCCTTAAGAGAAAAGGAAAGGGAACCAAGTCTAGTGGTTCAAGCATAAATACTTTGATTCTTTTCAGAAAAACAAAGTGTGATGAACTACATTCATGATGTCATAGAGAAAAAGGAAAATACTATGGGTCTGGGTCCTATTTTTAAGTATAAGAGAAATAGATCTGTCTCAGAAGAGATCAGAATAGAAATGTGAAGATGGCCCTAATTATCAAACAACTAAATAAGCCAGAAGGTAACTTGTTAATGGTGCGTAAGGATGTGTTTGCTATTTGGGCATTTCCTAAATGTTCAATTCCATAGATCCTGAAAAGCATAAATGGTCTTTTTACAAAGCATCATGAAAGTTGAATTAAGTTTTAAAGACAACTTTTACTATGTTTAACTACTCATGATAGATCTGGTCTAGTCTCTAAGACTCCATCTCAACCAATGGCTGGGTGCCAGTGACGTGACACACCCCTGCTACCCCAGCTATGGGGAAACACAATGTCTGGATGCGGTGGCACTTGCTTGTCATCCCCTAGGTCATGTGGAAGCACAAATAGGAAGATCACAGTCCAGGTTATCCTAGGCATTAAACCAGACTGTATCTTGGAAAGAACTAGGCCAAAACAAAGATGCTGGAGGCATGGCTCAAGTAGTAGAGAGCCCTGCTTTGTAAGAGTGAGCTCTTAATTCGATCCCCACTACCTCCCTCCCCTATACAGGAAATACAGTAAACCCCTAATTGAAAACAAAAAAGCCAAAAATAATGACAGATATAGCCAAATTGCATATATAATATTACCTATATGACATATTATAATATATATACACGGAATGATGTAATGCTGTACAAATGAGAAGTGGAAAACTTGGCAATTTCTTTAAAAATCTACACATACACTTTTTCTATGACACCACAGTTCCCCTTCTATGAATCTGCCCAAGAGAAATGGAAAATTAAATTTGCCATGCAGAACACTTCTGTGTGACGATTTCCTCCACCATTACTTACCACAGCCAAGGGGGAAAGTACAATACTGTGAAAATAAATGATTGCTACATGCTTACAACGCAGAAAACTTCAAAAGTATGCCAATATAAGACAACAACAAAAACAATCAAACGTACTCATATTTACAAGAAAAATGGACGCAGAGCCAGTCTAAAGAAATGAGAAATAGGCCTTTGGCTAGGGTAGAATCAGATATTAAATAGACTGCAAATGTTGACAGGCAACTTTTGAGAGTGCCAAATTTTTCTACAACTGCACTGTTGTGATGATCGGTCAATCACATATATCTATTAAAACACACTTCCTTGTGCAATTACAAAAATGCTCACATGAATTAAGACTGAAGAGACAGCACGTTCAAATCAGCACTTCAGATTTTTTTTTAGTTCATTCATCTACTGGCTGAAACAAAATGATTCCAGCTTAAAAACAAGGGAGCAGCCAGGCACTGGTGGCTTATACCTATAATCGAAGCTACTCAGGAGGCCGAGATCTGAAAACCTCTGCTCAAAGCCAGCCTACGCAAGAAAGTCCATAAAACTCTTATCTCCAATTAACCACCAGAAAAGCCAAGTGGCACTGTGACTCAAAGTGGTAGAGAGGTAGCTGTGAGCAAAAAGAAAGCTCAGGGACAGTGTCCAGGCCCTGAGTTCAAGTCTCACAACTGACAAAAAATTTCAAAATTAAAAATCAAGGGACGGGGCTGGGAAGGTGGCTCAGTGGTAGAGCGCTTGCCTTGCATGCATGAGGCCCTGGATTCGATTCCTCAGCACCACATAAGCAAAAAGAAAAAAGCCGGAAGTGGCGCTGTGGCTCAAGTGGTAGAACACTAGCCTTAAGCTGAAGAGCTGAGGGACAGTGCCCAGGCCCAGAGTTCAGGCCCCACAACCGGACCCCCCCCCAAAAAAAAATCAAGGGAGCAAATTAATGAAGGATTCTGCATTTTTTTTTTTACCTAAAGAGACTCATTTTCCCCTCAGCACCTATAAGACTAGAATTAAATAAGATCTGGTTTCTGATAGGAGGCAACTTGTTTGTTAAGTATAGAACTGAAAACCTTTCTTGCTGACAAAATGAAAACATGATAAAAAATACACACTTTAAACCTAAGAATGGTGTTAGTAATATGTAATCCACCATGGAATCTATCTTCTAGGTCCTCCATACAAAATAGCAATTATTCATAACAGCATTATATGTTGATTTTAACATGCTTGCCATTACCAATATCTGCTTCAAAATCTATTTTTCTAATCTACTTTAGAAGGCAGTTGTCAGCAGGGTCTAGAGAAAATTAAGCCCCCCAGAAATTCAAACTAAAAGATAGCATTTGTACATATAAGAGCAAAGAAAACCATCACCTAATTTGGACGAAGTTATGTCTGATGATCTGCTAATATACACGTAAAATCTTCATGTCAAGTTGGCCATCATTAAAACTACAGTTTAATACTTGAAATTCTCTAATAAAATACCATGATGTCAACAGAGAAAGAATGTTTACACTTTCCCAAATTAAGGTTTAAGTCAAAATGTATTCTTTTTTAGTATCATCTTTAAGTAGTTATACAAAGGAGCTGCCATTTAACAAAGCAGTTTAAGAATACAATATATCTTGATGATTGTCAAAATGTATTCTTGAAAACAACAGGAAACTTGCCTTTCAGCAGTTTCACCGTGGTATGTTAAGATAAATAGATGGAAAAGATGGATACCAGTTTAGAAAAAGTAAAGGAACACTTAATGAATATGACCATTGAAAAAGAGAGGTTATTTCCTCCTCTATTCTTTTTTTGGTCAGTCATGGGAGCTGAACTCTGGGTCTGGGCGCTGTCCCTGAGCTCTTCAGCTCAAAGCAAGTGTCCTACCACTTGAGCCACAGCGCCACTTCTGGCTTATTTTTCTGCTTATGTGGGGCTAAGGAATTGATCCCAGGGCCTCATGCATGCGAGGCAATCATTCTACCACTAAGCCACCTTCCCAGCCCCCCCCCCTCTATTGTTTGAAACTAACTTGCATTTAGGTGCCCCTTCTAATCAATCATACAAATGGGAAGATACTTCTAAAAATTAAAAGACAAATCTAATTGTATGCTTTTCCCCAGTGCCAGCCCTGAGAACAAGGGGAAGGGGAAGAGCAATGCTATTTCATCTGGCCCAGCAATGATGGATCTCCAATACCAGGATCCTTCCAGGGTGTCATCGAAGTTCTTTCACGCATTTCTACTAGATAACAATACAAGAATGTCAGAAAGAACTCATGTTATTTACTGTTTTTGAAAACCCACTATTGTTTCTGTGGGTGCCTAAGTCAACCTGTCGGTTTTGTTCTGGAAGTCACTGCGAAGTATTCAGACAAGTGAACAGAAGAGGCATTAGTAGACACACGTAATAAACCCTCGGTCCTACACTTTTCTCAATCTGACAACAGATTTTAAAATAGGGCTAGTTTGTAACTAGAAAGCTGATCCCCACAGAGGCCCTGGACAACGTGTGTAAGCTTCTAATCCTTGAAGAGATGGGAAGGGCCCACATTCTATTTTATGAACATGCTAAAGAACATCTGTAATATCAGAAGCAGCAGTAATCGTGAGGAACATTTACCCAACCCTTAATATTGGTGCTGAAGATGTTAAGAATTTTCTCTGGATTATCATTGATCTTCACAACTGTCTCAGGTCAGCAGCCCTGACTGTCAGAGAGTTACGGTCAGTCTTGAAAACAAGGTGAGTTCTTCCTGGTAGCTAAGTCACAATCCCCCTGTCTTTCCTTGAAAATGAATCTTGGAAGGTTGAGTCACAGGAACTACAGAAAGCTTTCTGATTGACTGACCTCATAGGAAGGACTGCAAATATGATTAGCCGAGATTTCTTAATTTCCACATGGAGGAATCTAATGCTCAGAGATGAATGGAAATGATCTAAAATTAGGGTTGACACAGACAGCTCTCTCCCAGTTGGCTGACACTTTTCTCCACACATCATGACCATTACCTGCACACTCTGTACAAACATTGGTTATACCATCATACACACACACACACACACACAGAGTGTGGCCCAGGTTTACATGACTATATGTTAACCCCAGATCTGTTCATTGACCATAATAGATTTCTTCTCAGATTGACCACAGTTAACTCAAAAGATCTACTTAAGAAATTTCCAAAGTCTCCTAACACTGAGATCACAGCACAAATTAAGGTGGATTTCTGATCCAGTTGTTTATTCACTGGTGTGTATCTGATTTCCTTTAGTAATAATTCATCTATAACTAATGGTTGATGCCTGACCAGGGAAAATGATGAGAAGAAAAATAGAGTTCAAGAAAAGATGAAAACCTGGGAGGGAAAGGAGGGGAGGGGTGGCGAGGGGGAGAAATAATGAACATGAGGACATGAATGAGCCCTGGAGGAAGATGGGATCAGTACCTGGCCAAACCATCTAGAAGCTTCTCTACTGACTTCAACACTGTTGAGCTAAAGCCTGCCATGGTCACTGCATCAGATGCTTCAGAGAGCGGCTTTGCACCTGGAGGGCCACCTTTACATGTGTGTAGTCATTATACCAGAAGCAAGATAGATATCATCACCAGGTGCTGGTGGCACATGCCTGTAATCCTAGCTATGCAAAAGGCTGAGATATGAGGATTCTAGTTCAAAGCCAGCCCCGGCAGGGAAGTCCATGAGACTCTTATCTCCAATTAACCATCAGAAAACCGGATGTGGTTCTGTGGTTAAGAGTGGTACAGTGCTAGCCTTGGGCAAAAGAGCTCAGAGACAGCACCTAGGCCTTGAGTTCAAGCCCCATGATCAAAAAAAAGATGGAAATTACCTGGATTCTGGGATGCTGGCTTTCTCCTTAATTGCTATGTTACCAAATTACTCATGAGTCCATTCTATCACTAGTCATACACAATTCATAGCTGACAACACAAAAGGACTTACTAAAAACATTTTTACTTCCATCTGCAAGTGCCTATCATGTGACTACTGAAGACTTTTTTTTTAAACGACATAGTAGTGATTCACTGCTATTTGAGTGCATAGTCAAACAGTTAATGAAAATCTTTAGTGTAAAACCTTCTAATACCTTGTTATTTAAAGTAGTACAATGCCAACTACAGAATAATACTTCAGGTAATATGTAGATATATCTTAGTAAGTTCAGCTATTATGAGGAAATACTACATCTCAAGATTGCGCTTATCAGCAAGGACCTAATTTTAATCCTGATTTCCCTTTTGTTTTCTGTAAGTAAGAATGATGACCTACTACTTCAAAAATGCAATTCATCTGGCTAAGACTCAATGTCAATGCTGACTATACTTTTAATTTGGAGCTACAGAATCTTTCCAAAGGTCCTTCATTGGTAAACTCAGTTGGGTAAGAAAAGTAGATAAAATGATGAGCAGATTACTGTCCTTTATTCTAACTAAAAATCTTGCCTTATTTTTAAACTGCCACAGACATGTTTAAATGATAATTGTATCTTCTCAATGAGCACAGTTCCTTATTATTGGAACTGGCAGGGGGCCTTGACATTTGAGTCACCATTTCATTATGTCTATTTCTTACCCTGGTATACAAATTAAATAGAAATACAAGCCAAATGAAATATAGAGGGGGGGAAATCGGAAGAAGTAACTTCAAATTGAATTGATTTTTCTCAAAGCTATAAAATAAATGAAGCAATTAACATTGGTTATAATACATCCTAGTTCCAGAATATTTTCAAAAATACTCATTTCAGTTCTAAGGACCAGAGATGCTTCAAATCATTCTAGCCAAACATTCAACTTCTAAACTGACAGCTTTAATACTTTCCAAATTAAGGAAATAGAGTGATTCCAGTTCTAAAACTACCACAATGAGGCACAGAAATACAGCTTGAACAAGCCTCTTCCATTCTGACAGGATTCAAAAGTCAAAATGAGAATTGTTACATATGTTTATCATTTACACATTGAAAGTATTATTAAAAAGCACCTTCATGTAGCTCAAATTTATAAATATATAAGTAAACACATTGGGGTGCAATGCAAGGGTACCCAAATATATTAATCAAAATATAGTGGTTTCGGGGGAGAACTCAAGTGGTATAATTCTTTAGAAAGACTAACTCACAGTTCAAGAAAAGAAACACCAAGACGCCGGTACTTAAAAGGAAGGGGGTGGAGTAGAGAAGTAGACAAATGAAGACAGGAAGGGGATGAGGGTGAAGGGAGAATACAGTCTTACCATTTAATGACTAGCCTCAAAACTAAGAAAATTGAAGGCAGGAATAGAGTTGGGAGAGATGGGGAGAAATGATGCAAGAGGAAACATAGATCAAGAGGCCCTGTATTCAGAAACTGCTTTGTTAAATGGCAACTCGTGTACAACTACTTAAAATAGTAAAAATTTAAAAAAAAACTTTATGTGATTGGACAGGCAGAATTCATTCAGACTAGAATGTCTAAATATGCCCAACTGGAACCCAGATGTGTCCTTAAGTAATTTCAAATTCTGAGACCTATATGATTAAAAACTATAATTGAATTAATTTCCCAAATTGCTCGATTCAGTCACACTGAATAAATATGCACCAACCCAAACTTTCTCAAATACTTCGTTTATCCTACTGAAGTTCAAAATTATAAAAGCTAATCAATGATAAAAACCAATACTATACAAAATCCTCAGGAAATCTTCATTGAGCTCTTCGGAATTTCTACAATTGTTCATTTAGGAAATAGCAACCTGCTCATTTCCAATAGCTAATAACTTCCCCCAAAAAAAAGGTTAGAAACAGGATGAGGACGCTGAGAGAATTTGACTTACCTCTACAGAAAATGGTAGGAAGCTATTTTATTCGAAACTGATTGACTGTTCAGATTATCTGTTCTGAAAATTAACAGTGTATTTCTTTCTTTAAAAAAAATCACTGACACTCTATTACCAAGGGCAAAAAAATGCTCATCGCTGATTTTTTTTATATTTCATTATTTATATTAGCATTTACTTTTTAAAACGTTTTATCTGTAGGAGAAAATTTGTGCTTAAACTTGACTATTTTAGGATTGTTTTCTGGTACTTTTTCATTGATATTGTATGACTTAGAACCCAGATCTCTCAAAAAGAATTCAAGGAAATCCACAATGAAAATACCTAGTATTCGCTGTGTTCTCACAGCAGTGAAGTACTAAGAAGAGAAGGAATTCCTGTTTCAATACTAGAATAAAATAACAGCAGAACCCTTAGGATCATCCGTTTCCAGCTTCTAGATCTTCCCTTATTCGGTATAGTAACACAAATATAGCATGCAGAGTGTAGGTTCCTGCAATGTGGAATGAGAAGATACCACATTTTTAACCTTTATTTATGTATAGAGCAGCAAGGCCTCGTGGGATGAAATCAGTTTTGTCATCAACACTGGAAATAGTCCTGAGTAGCTACTATGAGACTTTTGAGTTGGTCCCATCATTTCTGTAATTGCTATGTCCAGTATTAGTAAATGTGTGCTTTCGTGTACTGAAATAAATTAATGAGGGAGGGAAGCATTATGCAAACGACTGGGAACAGGGCCAGCCCCTTTACATATACATCCAGGGACCAGTAATCTTCTAGATGGCACTTAAAGCTCTCGTGCTCTAAATAATTAACAAGGGTAGCCAGCGTGTCATTTGTGGAGATAATCATCCCTTCTACCAGCTCCCCTCACCCATCTCAAGTCCAGGGCCAACTTGCCTGTACTCACCTTGTCTTTATTGTCGGTGCTGGACGCCTCGGGCTTGGTCCTGATCACGAACGGAGTGGACAGCCGCAGGAGGACTCTCTCGAAGGTAGCGTCGATCTTCGGGGAAACGATCTCAAAGCAGTCCTGAAACTTGAGCAGTTTGTGGGTGTCGCATCGCAGCTGCTTGCGCAGGCCTTCCCCGAGCTGCAGGACTGACAGGTTGGGGTCAAACATCAAGTGGAAAGGGAAGGCTCTGCAGAAGGTGTTGATGCTAATTCTGAGGTCCCCCGGATCGCGGGAAGTGCCCTGGGGCAGGCTCTTGGTGAGGTTGGTGTTTTCACACACCTTGATGAGGAAAGTCAGACAGCTGCAGTTGCCGGGCTTGGAAGCCTCGGAGCACAGCTTCTCGTTGGCAGCCTGCTCCACTTCCACATCCACACGGTAGATCTTCTTGCCCGCCGCCTTGATCATGCCCAGCATGGCAAACCCCACGACGTGATGCGGATGGAAGTAGTGGAGCATCAGGGTCCCTTCGGGGAGCTCTTTGCACAGGAAGGAAGGCGATTCCATGGTGGCTTGTTTCCCAAAGGAAGTTCTAATGTGTTCCAACAACGCATCGAAGCCATTAAAGAAGTCCTGCAAGGTGCCGCCCACCGCGCGAAGGACGCGCTCGTTCTCGTCAAAGCATATCTTAAAGAACTCCTCGCCAAATCTCTCTTGGATTTCCTCGAACTTCAAACCTCAAGAGAAAGGAAAAAGCGAATGTCAGGGAAGCCGGATCCGAAGAAAAGAGCTCACACCTGTAAGCCTAGCCTAGATCTGAGGATCATGGTTCAAAGCCAGCCTGAGCAGGAAAATCTGTGAGACTCCTATCTCCAGTTAACCACTAGAAAACTGGAAGGAAAGCTGTGGCTCAAAGTGGTAGCGCGCCAACCTTGATTGCAAGAGTTCAGGGACCGTGCCCAGGCCATGAGTTCAAACCCCACAACTGACAGAACAAACCAAGAAATGCTCACCAAAAGAGACAGTAAATGTGTTGAAGCAAAAGAGATACTATCCTCCATCCTCAGGCCCACAAATTTCCCACAGAAGTTAATTCATTTGTTTAGAAGCCAAGAAAGTAAACTTTAGTTCACCGTCTGAACACATCTAAGGCATTAATGAGAATGAACGTATTGTTCATTTGTGTTTAAATAGACTATGTTAAATCAGACCTAGATCTGTGGCAAAATTAAAAGAAGCTCCAGATGTTTCCCAAAAGGCCCTCTGCTCTCCCCTCCCCCTCCCCTCATCCCTAAGCTGCTCCGTTAAACACCATGCTTACTCTACTCAAACAATTGTGTCAGCCAAATTAGGTCACTTTGACAAAGAAAAAAATCAACATGAAGGCCAGGCGCTGGTGGCTCACATCTATTAAATTCTAGCTACCAGAAGCTGAGACCTGAAGATCACGGTTCAAAGCCATCCTGGGCAGGAAAGTCCCTGAGACTCTTATCTCCAATGAAACGACTCCAAAAGTTAGAAGTGGAGCTGTGTCTCAAGTGGTAGAGCTTTTAGCCTTGAGCAAAAAAGCTCAGGGACAGTGCTCAGGCCCTGAGTTCAAGCTCTAGGACGGACACACACACACACACACACACACACACACACACACACACACACACACACACACACACAATCAAAGTGAGTAATAAAGAGAAAAATCTAAGAGAATGACTCCCTTTATGGAGGAATCTATCACACTGGCTTTCGTTTCACAGATGCGATGTGCAGATGCTCGTGAGAACATCACCTAGGGAGATGAACACATCGTCACACTCTCCCGCGGCTACATTACAAGATTGTCCTTCAACAAACGTGCTCATTCACAATACCACAACCAGAGTTGAGGATAATAGCATTTGCCTGCCCAGCCCTCTAATGTGAGGACAGAACAAATCAGAGGATATTCCCCCCTACTCCAACTGCTCTGTTGTTAGCTGCTGTCAGGATTACAGAACCAGCATAATACTATTTGTTCCCCTGACTTAACCTTGTTTTTGCTTTAATTTGAGACTATCAGCTTCTCCTCTTAAAAACCCTCATTTCTTTGGGCTTATCAAACCATGTCCTCCTGATTTGATTATGTTGGAAATGCATCAACACATTTTCCTCAACAACATTCTTTTTATGCCAAATCCTTACATCATCATGTCATAAATTTAAAAAAAAAAAATCTAACACACACTCAATGCCTACATTCAATGATAGTACTCCCAAGTAAGAAACTTTCTGGTTATGAAATTCCTCCCCAAAACTAAATTCAGAATCCGTACTCTACAACATTTTTCCTGAACTAAAGAATCCAAAATACCACTGAAAATATCCCATGGATTGTTTCCAAATATTGAAGACTTGATCTCCTAAAAGCTTAGGTTCTACAAGCAATAAAAGAGGAGAGGGGGGGTGCGTCGCAACTGGCATTTCATTTAAATGAAAAAGTCCTTGCAATTAGTGAACAGACATAAAAACAGTCCAGCAAGCTCAGGTTCTACTATCAATGCCAGAATCTCAAAGAAACACCGCCCCCCTCAAAAAAAATACAAACCAGAGGCAACAAAATAAAAGCCACTGTAGTGCAAGATTGTAGCCACAAGAAAACTTTGCTGCTCTACAAGGCACTGTTCTACTTTAAGACACAATAACTGTTCGTTTTTAAATGATGTCACTAGGCATACCAGAGGCCAAAACGTTACATGTATCATTGAATAAAGCTGAATTTTTTTACAGGTTTGAAATATTTTAAGGATAATACTCTAACTCTATTCGCAGTGGTCTCATAGACACCGTAATGTCAAATTAACCAAGAAAGATTTTTCTTTCCACTGTTGCTGAAGTGCACATCCGAAAAGAAGAAAAAGAGTCCTGAGAAAGATCACTGCAACTTCTGCAAATCAATAGCCACGGCTTCCATTTTAAACCTCATCTCAAAAGGCAAAACGCACAGGGAAATCTCTCAGCACAGACAAGTGCTCAGTTCCCACCTACAGTTGACGCAAATCTCCCACCTTGCAGTAAAACACCCGAAACGTATAGACAATGCTCGTCTCCTCAAATCGCAAGACGCTATGACAGCTTGACATTTGGGTCTATAAGAATACATTCCCTCAAGAAGCAGGATTTAGAATAAACCATTCTCGTTAATGTGGAAGCTGAAAGTCAGAATTTTAAAATAATACTAAATCACCTCCTTGCAAAGGCTGATGCCCAAAACGCTGGTGTCCTTTATCCCTGAAGGAAACAGAATCCATCTCCTTTGTGGCAGGGGCCTGTTGGTTGACCCTTGTGTACTATCTCATAGCAGCTCAGACTGCTCATTGCTTGAAAACAAGGTGCTTGTCCCATTGAAATCTGCCTGCCTAGCACCAGCGCAACACCTGGCACTGAGAGAATAACACTCTTCCTTAGAAACCAAGCACTTCCTGGATACGTTTAATCATGTATTTCAGGGTACAGTTATACCACATTTAAGGACATTGTGTTAAAAAAAGACATGTCTTTTTTTTCTCCCGTGGGCCCCTACAAGTTATACACTGCCTGTGATTGGGCTACAACAGAGGAACACAGACAGTTGTTACAAGGACCCAGTAAGGAAGAACAGAACACCACAGCAGATGAACTGTAATGGAAGCCAGGTGAAGGAGCAAAAGGTAGGGCCCAGCCTGGCCCAGGGCACAGCAGATCCTAAGTGGATAATGGAGGAGCCAGCAGAAGTGGGGGGTGTGAAATGAAGGGAGCTGCATTATCAACGTTGGATTGGGAGTGCTAAGGCCAAACTTAAGAATGCCAACCAGAGAGACGAAAGCCCCTGACAGTAAGAATGGAAAGAACTGTCATGCAGGACGCTAAATGGTTTATAACCCATCTCATTTGAGTCCTTTTTGAAATTATTAAATAGGTATTTTTATTGTCTTCCTTGTACAGGTGGGGAATGTTTTTTAAAAAACATTGCACACATTCATACAACTACACCTAGCAGAGACATACCTCACCCATCTGTCTAGGACTAGCCTTTGTATAATAAGTACAGTATCAAGCAAGCAAAGCTTCCACACAGGGAAGAAACATACACGTCTTGCTCATAGTTATGTCATCTGCCGGGGTCACTGAGTATTGACTAATAAATTCATAGAACACAGAAATCAATACAGAGGCATAGTGGGGAAGAGGTATCAAAACCCACCGCAAGCAAGCTCAGGAAAGACCAGGGCAGAAAACAGTCAACTGCATTTGTCAGTCTGTGGGGACCTTGGAAAGAGCAATTTCAATGGAGAAGGGAGGCCAGAGACTTAGCATGCTGTAAGATATACGAGTCAGATGAAGAAACAGAAACCTGAATCTTCAGCTGAATCACTAGAAGGTAAAATCACTTAATTTATAAAACTGTTGGGTTGTTGTTTTTTTTATTTTAAACTCTGACCTCCAAGGGAAATGTTGACTTCATTGGAAACTAAATGAAGAGAGTCAGATAAGGTGCTAACCTAGGATCATAGATCTGGGAGAAGTTCTACAATAAAACTTAAAAAAAAATTAGTACCTTTCTGGGTCAAAGATCATCAGTGTGGGAACAAATCAAAATGGGAGGTGACCTTCAAATTGCTTAAAACTCAAAGAGCTGAATACCTACCAACAAACTCCCTTCTGTGAACTGCAGACATCTCATAGTTTGATGCTTTATAGATTTCATCAACCTAATATTTAAGTGACATAACACACTATCTCAAGTTCACATCATTGCAACAATGAGATGTACAGGCCGTTATGTCAAAAACGAACTTCACAACTTTGGTGAGGGGAGGGTGGGGAGGGGAAGGGATGGGAAGGGGAAACAGAGGAGGAAGCTACAATGCTTGATAAGAAATGTACTCATTATCTTGCCCATGTAATTGTAACCCCTCTGTACAGTATTTTCCCAATAAAAAAAATAAAGCATTTAAAACACTAAAAATAAATATATAAATAAATAAAGATACTTTCATATTTTAGGAGACAATCTTTTTTGAAGAAAATAATTAAGTTAGAAATCTGGATGGATTTTTGCAAAAATAGTGTTCTACTTCCATACCAATTTATAAAGCAATCACAGACTTAGCATCTGCCTACCAGAGAAGATGTAAGGATTGGTATTATACTTCTCAAATATGAAAAGAGAAAGTCCCACTGAGCAAATCCTACCGATCAAATTATAAGTGCAAAGGAATTGTTTTCTTATCTGATCTGTCAACATAGTCTCAGTGGAGTCTTTATGAGAGGTGAAACAAGGGCTAGGAAGGTGGCTCAGTGGTAGAGTGCTTGCCTTGCATGCATGGGGCCCAGGGTTCAATTCCTCAGCACCACATAAGTAGAAAAGGCCGGAAGTGGCGCTGTGACTCAAGTGGTAGAGCACTAGCTTTGAGCTGAAGAGCTGAGGGACAGTGCCAAGGCCAAGAGTTCAGGCCCCACAACTGACAAAAAAAAAAAAAGAGAGAGAGAGAGAGGTGACATAAAACCTTTGTTATTTCATAGCATTTGAGATAGTAGCATAATGATCTCTACCATTTCCAAGGTATTAAGCATCAAAAAAAAAAACTTGCTATTATTTTAGATTGATTGATTGATTGATTGATTGATTAGTGGCATCTCTGTCTCCTACAAGAATATAGAGTATTCAAACATTAGTTCAAAATATATAGATTAATTTTCTTCATTTAATTCTATGTCTTAT